GCTTCCTAAGGTGTTCCTGGATGCACATGCGTGCATGGTTACTTCACTTTGCTGGAGAACAAAGTAAAGTGGCTGTGCAGGAGACAGCTAAAGTCTGATCAAGAAGCTGGAGAAAGATGAATCTGTTTCATTGTGAGAATGAATTGAAACACCTTTTGCCTAGCCCTATGACTTATCTATGGTAGTCTTTCGTTGTTGTTCTTTATGAATTGATGCAAGTATGTAAGCTGCAGCATTTGCATTATGATGTTATCCCAAGCATATTGTCATTTGCTCCCTTTGCCTTTCTTGTCTATGGCATAGAGGTGTTTGGGCTCTTAGAGTTTTTAGCTGATTCAGGGCCTCTACTTACACTTTAGCCTATCATTTGTTTAAAGAAGTGGTCTTGGAGCAAAACTGTTTGATACATTGTGAAGACTAGAATGAATGTTTGGGGGAAATCTTACCAGTTTACCATCTGGTGACTGCTCCCTCTGTCAACCATGGCAGCCATTTTGTTATAGTGCCCTTAATATGGTTTTAAAATTTGAAATATACCTAGTTACCCCAAAAGATTGGGGGTCCTTTGCTTTTTATCATCCTTACCACCCCAGGAATACTGATAGAGGAGTGGAGTCCTTGGTGCTTTCTGAGCTTGGTTGTTTGATTGCAGACATTTCATTACCTGACTAGGTAACATCATCAGTGCTAGTGAGTGTGGAGTTTGCTCTCTGTTTATTCACCAACTAGCAGTCAGGACACAACGAAAACTCCTTAATCCCACAACACAAGGACAGCCTCAACCATAATTTCAGCTGGGAAACTATGAGCATCCTAGACCAAGCTAAATCCAAAAACACTAAGGAATTCCTGGAAGCCTGGCACTCAGACACATCAGCCATCAATAGACACAAAGATATAAACCACATTTACAGGCCATTCAAAAGAAAGCTAATAAAGAAACAAAAAGACCAGAACACATCCTCTCCAGCAGCCTAGACCCAGATAAGGAGGGATTAACACCAGAAAAAAATCAAGCAGAAAACAATACCCTAATCAAGGAACTACCAAGGAGAACGCCCCCCCCCCCCCCCCCCTCTTTCCTGATTTAGTGTAAGCCATTGTTTGATTGCAGACCTTTCATTACCTAATTAGGTAATGAAAGGTCTGCAATCAAACAACTCATGCACGCTCCTCTATCAGTACCAATAGAAGAGAATATATGTAGCTCAGGGTTGAACTGTGGAGTCCTTGGTGCTCTCTGAGCCTGGTTGTTTGATTGCAGACCTTTCATTACCTAATTAGGTAATGAAAGGTCTGCAATCAAACAAAATGTCTGCAATCAAACAACCAGGCTCAGAGAGCACCAAGGACTCCACAGTTCAACCCTGAGCTACATATATTCTCTTCTATTGGTACTGATAGAGGAGCGTGCATGAGTTTTTCCTTGGGTGTTGGGGCTAGAATGATTGGAGTCCTGTTTGGTGGGAGCCAGTAATGGTGAGTTCCTGACTGTCTGTTAAGGATTTAATTGTATTGGATTTAATCTGAAATTGTTTTTGTTTTCCTGATTTAGTGTAAGCCATCCAGTATCACAGTGCTCAAGTGCTCAGGCCATATAAATGCTTTAAATAAAATGAAATACTGGGAAATCAGTAAGAAGGAAAGAGTTATATTCTTTCCTAGGATTTATACTTCATTCAAATCACTCTGTCTTCCAGACATCTAACCATGCATTCTCCTATATCATGTAAAATAGGGATGTGTGGCTATGAAGGAGGCGGCTTCTTAATGCCTTCTTATCTCAAACGTGTATTTCCTGTGAAGGCCACAAAAAGGCATGGCTTCTTTAAGGAGCTCAGAAGGTACATTGAGCACATCCATTCTGTATCCTACATACCTTTGCAACTATGGAACCGCATGATTGCAAATCCCTAAAGTGTAGTTTTGCAATGCAAAAAGAAAGTAACACCCTACGGCTGGGAACAAGGCCAAATTCATTTACATCAGGAAGGGATCAGCTATAGTCTATTGTGACCATTCCTGGAGAACCAAGATTATGTATCAGTTTCAGTGTGGCACCAAAACAGTCCTTTTCTATAGCCAGCCCTCAACAATATCATGTCATGCTAAACCAAGTTGTTTCAATCATGGTTTATTGACTAAGACACAATAAGTGGATTCACCTACAATGTTAAGTCAAAAAGGCTGGATCCAGATAGTATTAAGTCACATTGCTTTTGTTGTTAACTTTCATGACGGTTGTTTCACTGCCTTGAGTTGTTAAAAAAAGCAGAATAATAATCTATGGTTTATCAGTTTATTTTTATGTATGCACCATGTCACAATGACTTGATCAACAAACCATGATATCCTAATCTGGGAAGGATAATTAAAAAAACAGTCTTCCTTTAAGGGTTTTCAAGTAAAACATAATATGGTAGTTGCCACCAGTCTGGCTGAACCTCTTGATACATCCTAGCTCATCCAGATGTAGAATATTTAGCTCTTCTGATAAGGATTTCTCTATCCACCCTACCCCTAGAAAAATAGAAAGGCAGATGCCTTGTATCTTACTGCCCAAAGTCCAGAATTACAGAACTTAATAAACCTTGTACTAATTCTGAAACACTAGGGATAGTTGCACAGCCATGGAGTCTTGCATCCATGATTTAAATGAGAAAATCCTTATTAAACCAATGAAGCCAAATATCTCTCTTTAAAAGGGAGATTATTGGGAAGGAGGGAATACAGAAGAAAGCCACAATGGGAAACACACAATTCCAAATAAAAACAACACAGTCAGCCTAGGTAAACTTATTATCTCCTTAAATAAGTCTAGCACATGTTCCAAATTAATTGCAGCAGGGGGAATAATTGGAGGGAAATCACCTGCCCCTCTGCTTGAATGTTGATCTATGCCCTTTCTTCCTTTAGCGCTTAGGTTGATAGAATATGGGGAGTAACTGAAAGTTAGTTTATTTGAGGAAACTGATTGTTGCTTTGCCCAATCATTGTATATCTTGTTTCTAATATCCTGGATTTAGTCAGCAAATCAGAAGTGCTGACTCTACCTTCTGAATGACATTTGGTGGAATGATAAAGGTATGCAGTAATTTGATTTTCATTGTCTAAATGGGAAAAGCTTTTGGGGAAATTGAAAGCTGAATTCCATTTATGCAGCCTTTCAGCATGGAATCCACTTACCAGATGTTTTGGGGCACTGTGCATTCCAAAGGTTATGATTTATCTCAACCCAGTGCAAAAGCAGCAGGTAAAGCAATGAATGTGAGAGTAAATGGATCACCAGATGGCACCTGTTTTGACTCTGCAGCACTCTCTAATTTTATTAAAGAGAAAGAGCAATGTATAGAATTGTGTATAAACCTGCCATTTACTTGGACAAAAGATCCCCTGTAAGATTTTGCTGTGTGTTAGGCAAAGAAAAGGTGACCTTAGATATCAGGAGTTAGGTCTGTTCCTACTAATATGTGTAACAAAGAGTGGAAGAAATGTAAGATTTAAAGGCAATTATTGTGAGAAGGGAGAAGTGGAGAATTACTTATGAAAAGCATTCTCCAGAAAAATGGACTAGGTGAATTAGAATCTGCTGGCAAGGGGTGTGTGCGTGTATGTGTGTGTTTGAGAGGGAGAGTTCCCAAGAGTGTTAATCAGACCTGAACAGTTGGTGAAGCAGGCTTTATAACAGAAATATGTATTTACTAAGGCGACATGAGTAAATCCATATCTACATACAACTGTCCCTTGTGGTTATGAGCTGCTGAAGAGCCAACAGCACTGAATTCATGCATGCAAAACTACAGTGCCCTAAAGGTTTGTGTTTGTTTGGCATGGTTCAAATTAACTGTCTTGGCACACTGTCTGAGCACAGAGCCTTATTTTACTTAGCAGTTGTCGGTGGGTATTTTTGTAGCAGCCAGAAAATGCTGCTGCTCTTCTCTTGCATTATTACTCTCTGCATCGGATGTTTTAAAATTGTAGCTCAGTTGTAAGATAGTAACGTTCCTGAAGGGGCAGATCTCATTTATTTGCCAAGTTGTGTCGAATCTTGTAAAAGCTTTTTATCAAGGATGATAAAGCTTTTACCAGAGCAGATAAAAGGGAAGTGCTCATTCAGACAAGCCATATTTAATAGTCAGTGTTTGATGCAATAAAATGTGGTGATAGCTGCTGTCTTTGGTAGTTTATGCAACTTTCTCATAACATTGAGAGTGGGAGCATTGAATAAACCTTCTATCTGCTATCCATATGCTCAGCCAATACTGAGCTGGAAAATAGTAAGAGGAAAGAATAAATGTCAGTCCCCCTTACTCCCATCTAAAACTTATAAAGAAGGCGAGTGAAATTTTTCTTTTTATGTAATAGTAATTGTACTACTCTATTTCTTTCAGCAAACCTTAGCACAAGATGCATGGGATATTTTTAAACACTGAAAAATTAAGTCCTACTCTAAACCTGCAGATAAAATGTTAGACTGGGAATCCAAAGTGTTTACAAAGTGTCCATCTATCATGTGTACGTCTATGGTCCGAATTGCTCTTTACTACACGGAAAGGTTTAACTTCTCACTTTCCCCGCTGCCTGCTGTTAAAATGAAATCCCATAGACTAAACAATTATAGATAAATAAAGGCATTGTTTTTGACCTGTCCTTCTTTCTTTTCTGGAGAAAATAACTAATTATAATCCATGTATTTATTTTCATTTAATGGATATACAGTACATGCCGTCTTTTCACTTGAACGGAGCTCTAGGAAGCAATGGAAGAATCCTTGTTTTTCCTTTCCTACGATCTAGCATACCCCCATTCTGACCGCAAATGGGAAAGGAAGGTCGCGGGGGGAGGGTTTACACTTCGAAGCAAAGTTGCATGGCGACCCTTCAGGGGTCAGCAGGAAGCAGCCTTAAATCGTAGCCGGACACCTCTACCGCTCCGGCTCCAGAGACGTAAGGCTATAGAAGTAGGAAAGGGAAGAGGGAAGAGGGCGACTCTATACTCGTGTATCTCTAAGCGTCTTTCAGGAAGTTGAACAAAGACAATTCGGGCGCGCGCGATCGCTCGCTGCTTCTCGTGACTGGAACCGGATCGGTTGTCAGAGGTTGGTCTTTTGAAAGGAGAGACTCGTTCTTTTCTAATAATGCAGCAAATTCGTAGGCTTCTCTTGCTTTAATTCAGTGTTTCTCAACCTAAGCAACATTAAGATGCGCCGATTTCAACACTCAGAATTCCCCAGCCAGCAGCATAATATGGTTTATTATTTGGGCGCAACGTGTTCAATTAATAAAAACAATTGGATCTCAGTGCAGACTGGATAATACGCGGTTCAGATTTGGACAACTGCTTAGGAAAAGCAGGGATGCATATAAAGATATCTGGGCTGCCAACTTTCCCACTTCCATTCGTGGACCTTAGTCCAACAAGGATTTGAGCATTGCTTTTTCAATTCTAGCCATACAACAATTCTGAGATGGCATTTAGACCTCATTTCCTCAACCTTCTTCCCCTTCCTGTCTCCAACCTTGAGGACAACTGTTGTATGCCTAGAATTGGAAGGGGAGTACATTTTCAGAAACTGAGTACAACTCTCTAAGTTCCTGGGAAAAACAGATGAAGTGTGATAATAAATTATTAAAACAGCAGAACACTGTTTGCTACTATTCTATTTATTTATGTCATTTAGTCATTCTGAGTTGCGTGCCCTTTAAATGTGATTAATAAAATAAAACTGCAGTTCTGGGAGGAAATTTAGATCTCCTTCTGAGCTGTACATTTTTATTGATCAGGCTAGTATCTATTGGAAAAAGCAATGCTCAGATCTTTGTTGAATTAGGATTCAAGAATGGAACTGGAAAAGTTGGCAGCCCAGATATCTTTATCTATGTCAGTGCTTTTCTTAAGCAGTTTGAACTGCATGTTATCCACAGTCTGGGCTCAGATCCAGTTGTTTGGATATATAATAACTTATATTATGGCTTAAGTGTGATGGCCTTCTGGACAATGCAATAAAGCTAAGAGGATGGCTGGGTTCTCATAACATGTAGACCCACAAACTACTCAACTCCAAAAACTTAATTTAAATTAGAACAATTCCTCACAGTGACAGTTGGGACAGTAAACCACCTGCTTACTTGGTAGTTACCAGAAATCTAGATTTCAGAAATAAATAATAATCAATACCAGAATTGGATTGGTCTCCATTTTCTAAAGAACAGAGGAAGCTGTGGTTCACTAGTTCATCATATATTAATGTACAGAAAATAACACTGCCCCCTTTCAGCACTGGCAATGAAAAATTTTCATAACAACCACAAAAAGCAGCTGTTCCTTTTTCTTAGGGCAGAACGGCAAAGACTTTTTGCTGCCTGAGGCAAAGCATCCCTCTCCTCAAGTCAGTATACACTTCCGGCCAAGTTTTTTTAGCGCATGGGATTGGAAAACCCACAATCAACGTGTCCTCCTCGCTGACAGTAACTTTACAATGATACCAAATGACAATTTACTGCTCTTTCAGAATCTGCTACCTGTGGCAGCCGCCTTATTCTGTTTCATGGTAGGACTGGAACAGAAACAATCACATTCTCAGTTCAGGGGTGTTGGGGATGAATTAAGACTTGTTGACTGGGCTGGCTAAAGAACATGCTGCCTTGTTTCCAAAGTAAATTTGGGAGCCAAAACAAGATGTGTTGATGCTGAAATAAGACAGATTGTAACCAAGCTTAGGTATAATACTCATGATTTATTAGACTGCATGGTCCTTTCTGTCCCCATGAGGCCAGCTTTGCTACAGATAGCTTCAAGTGACATCTGAAATAGAAAACCATGGCTTAAGTGGTGCTAACAGAGTAAAATATAATTCATCAGACCAGTTTCATTATGGCCTGTGCCTGTATTACATTATTTCCCTCTCTGTGACAGTGCAGTCTAAGATCAAAATAGTGTAGATTATGATAATTTAAATGTAAAAATTACATGTTGAGGAAGAACTCAAACTTGATTTAAGTACAGTATTAACATTTTTAGAAATTTTAAAATATTTAAAAGGGTTAAATAATAGGATTAATCTTATATTTTCATCTTTTATATACTTGCCTATAAATATAAAAGCAGACTATCCTATCAGATCCTTATTAGAGGCCAATAATTCAGCTGCAACCAATAATATTTTTTGCTTGGTAGTGTTAGAAATTACTGTGCCTATACAATCTCTTCCTGAAAAGATAAAATTAATTTTTGAATTTTGATATCAAATACCAACCATATTTTAAAGCCCAAGGAGAGTATGTGTGTGTGTGTGTGTGTACGTGCGTAGAGAAACTGACAAAGAAGGCCACATATCACAGCAAAATTATCATTTATCAAATCTGTTAAAGGAAAGTAGAAATAAATCTTTTCAGGAAGAGGAAGTTCTTAGCAGCAGAACTAGGACTGAAAGGAATGATTAAAATAATTGTGGAGAAGTTCAGAAGAGCATGCTTCTGATTTATTATTCAGGAAAAGAGGAGCTAGCATACAAAACAGAGGTGTCTATTTAATAGATCAATAGTTTAGGTGCTTAAATTCATGGAACATTTTAATTTTTATTCTTTAAATTACAATAAATAATTTTGTAATATATGGCTATTTTCTTGCTATGAAATATGGATGGATCAACTGATCATTGTACAATAAATGATTCTTTTAATTGCTCCAATGAAGAACTTTCCATTATTTTGTTCTACATTTGATTGTATTATAACTAACTGTAATGACCTTGACATACCATATAGTAGAAATAAAGAAATATAGTACAGTGTCTTTCACTAATGCTCCAAACTTTGCTGAAGCCCCAAATACTCTATCACAGTCTCATTATAAATAACTAAAGATAAACTTTTGTCTTTTACTCAGTAGTGATTAAGTGGGATGCCCTGAAAAGGAAATTTCTGAAACACGTTCATCAAAGTTAGGACATATATAAAGTTAGAAAACAAAAGCTTGTTTCCATCTAGTGGTCATCCATATTTTTATAGCCCAAATATAGCTGTAATCAGTGTAGGATAGCTTCCATCTCCCAACAGTATTTTATACAGTGTTATATATAACTGAAGGCAGTTGTTCCTGATCAAATGTCATTTGGTTATAGTAACATCTATGCACAATCGGTATTGATTGAATATAGCGTGTTTGTCATTTCTGCTATATAATACTTACCAAAATTTCTTATATCATTCTCTGAAGAAGAGAGGTCCATGGTAATAAAAAGAAAACAAGTTGCTTCTTCAGTATCAGAGGTGGCAATAAACAAATTTTTATTTCTCGTGCTTTAGATTATAATTCTTCACGATAATGAAAAAGCATTACTTCAGTTATACTGCATACAGACTTAGTCCAGATATAACACTAGACGAGTGATAGACAACTTTTACACTCCAAATGTTTTGGATTCAGTTGTCTGCTCTGATTTTAAACCATGTTTTAGCATTAATTACACAAGTATGTACTCTGGTGCTTCCGTCTTCTTTCAGCATATCCTGGAAGAGCAGATTTTAAGCATTTGCTCCCATTTTAATTGATCACAGCTTGTCATTTCATCCTAGGAATCACACTGAAGCCTGGGTCAGAAGCCATGATTTTGTTTTTGACTTTCAGTATAAGCCAGTTAACATTTTGAGGATGCCTGCTCCTCCTCTGTACACTTTTCATTGGAGATTGCTTTATGTGCTGGCTGGGGAATGCTGGGAGTTGAAGTCCACACATCTTAAAGTTGCCCAGTTTGAGAAACACTGCTTAATAGGACCACAATTTGATCCTAATATATATAACTAAATACGCACATGTTCAAAAACACATTGAAACATATTTTAAACTATAAGACTGCTATTTTTCTGGCTTGATTATTGCTGCTCTGTTATTGTAGGCTCTAACAGGTTATTCTATTATTTTGTTAAATGTATATCCTTGGACAACCAGAGCAATCCATAGCCTTTGGCACCTCTCTGTTCAAGCAACATCCTTCTCTTGTGCCTCTGAAGCTATTGGTGTCCATCATGTGTGAGATGTGGTAGAACAATTCCCGTTTGTTTCTCTGGTTTGTTCCTGATGTTGCCTTAATAATTATGGAACTGACAATTTGAGAAAGAGTTGGGTAAGAAAGATATGTGGGTGATTTGAGTTGCTGAAATCTCCTAATGGAACTTCTGGTTGAGATATGTGACAGATACTACTTCTGTAGGCTTCACCTGTTACTAATATATATTTCAAAAAGTTGGTCTACCAGTCAAGCCTTTGGCTGTTAGCTGTGTACCATAGTGATGCAGATAAGAGTTCATGGAAAGAAATAGATTCTTGCCTGATTTCAGGCATTGTAATTAATAATTTATTGGTAAATATGCCACACCTCAGCAGGTGGGAGGACCTAGACACACCCAAATCATATCAGAAGCTCAGTAAGGTCAGCCCTCTCCAGGGCTACTGGCTAGAAAGAGAAGTCAGGCAAGCATCTTTGAAGAAGACAGTGCCAACCCCCATTTATTGTGCTGTCAAGAAAACAGAGCTGCTGTCACCACGGATCAAGATCGACTGGAGGGCATCTTTATTTTTAACATTTGGGTTCAGAGCAATATCAACCATTAGTAGTTTGTAGCTCTGGAAATCTTTTTTTTTTAATCATAATTAAAAATGGGCAACTGAGAAATTAGACATATTTATCTCTTAATATTACAGACAATTAATTCATATAAATTGTACTTGGCTGCCCTTATTTATAACATAAAAGGGGATTTATTGCTTTGCTCTGTTTCCTGGAATATAGCACTGGCCAAGGTTTCCCCCCCCCCCCCCTCTATATTATGTTTGTATGATGATGATTATAGCGGTTTTTCATAGTGA